TCCAGCTCTTTTTTTTGTTGGTCTTCCTCTTGCCTTGCACCATGGTACTTTCCTGTAGTATCCAATAGTGTATTACGTGCATACTTAGTATGACAAGTAACAGTTACAGATAGAGTTTCTAGGACTATAGATGTAAGTCATTGATCTGAGAGCAACGATGATTTTTGAAATAATGGTGGTGCTTAGTATATGATGTGGGATTGCGTTAGCGATAGTACTATCTTCCTCTGCTCGAATGAGTTACGAGGGACGCGCCCCCCCCTCCTAATCCCGTTCCCTACTGGAACCATCTTTAAGGTCACCGTGAAGTTCGGAAATGGTAGGCACAGTCTCTGTTAAGGTGACATTGTTAGTGTTAGCCTATTCTATGGGGCCAAGACAAGTGTAGAGAGGAGCTACGTGGGAAGACAGTATAGTGGCAGGTTTGTTGGGGTATTCGTAAACGGATTGTAGGCAGCAAGTTGGCAAACAGGTTATGGACTTTAAAAATGCAGCATTCTACTCCGTGATCATTTACCCCGTATCTTCTTTTCGCGTCCTATTGAACTTGCGGAGATTCTGACACAGGATCTTCGAACCCGAGTCGAGAGGGCACAATTGTCGAGGCTCAGCTTTGGTCGGTGATGCATCCATGGGACACTTGACACAAGTTAATGTTTCGCTTTTGTCTCTCTCCTATCGGACATGGACAGTAAATTCGGAGGTCCCGCCTCATAAACAACCTTACGGTGTTGCAAGGGGCGTTAAAGCTATACAATCCCAATTTGGTAAAGCAAAATTTGCATTATTTGTGCCATAATGTAGAGGAATCAGGCGTTCTTCAATTTTTGGGTATTTGAATTTATTGGTTTCATTTTAATGATGTTCGTTTGCCTTGCTTTGGACTAATAAATAAATAAAACAAAACATTATCTTTCTTGAAGTAAAGTGGAGATATTTGCGATTGAAAGGGGTGGGGGTTGCCAGATTTCAGTGGTAAAATTAGCGAGTAAATGGCCGTCAAAATTCGATGACTTCCAAAGCTTGAGAGTCCTAGGAAACTGAACATCTGCAATGTTGGTGCCTTTAATTAGCCTTTTTCTGTAAATTCACACAGAAAGGTGCTTTTAATACAGATGTAAAAGGTGTTCAGCCAAAAAACAAAAATTCGAGAAAAATTTCCAAACTGGTAGGAAAATGCCAGTATCTTCGAATTCAGTATTTTGACGAGAGCTTCATTTCACGACAATGCCTCACATTTTTCTTTTTGTTTACAGCTTCTGAGTTTGCTCTGTGCTTCCACTCCGCCTCAGAGATCAAAACATTGACGCTCCGAGCGACTTCTTCTCAAGACAAAATGGCGTGGCAGGCAGTGCTGGAGCGGAGATTAGCGTCCCTTGGTGGAGGCAAAAGACAGCCCTTCCGGTGTTTAGATAATGTCTTTGGCGTCAAGACCAGTGTTTACTTGTAGAGGATGAGCGTGATAATATTGTGTTGACTTGGCCTTTCTTGTCTGTCTACCTGTCTGCTTGTCTGTCTGTCTGCTTGTCTGTCAGTCTTTCTCTGTATCTATTTATCTGTCCTTGTATAAATTATAAAATTACAATATTTGTACTCTCTCTCTCTCTCTCCCTCTCTCTCTCTCTTTCTCTCTCTCTCACTTTCTCTCTCTCTTTCTCTCTCTCTCTTTCCATCTC